CCTACACTCAGACTGAACAGCCTCCAGGGAGTGGCCTGGACATGGTTTCATGACAGCCAGACGGCCCTTCAGTAGCTGCTGTCTGCTGTCCCCAGGACCCGCCGCCCCAGGAGCCTGCAGTAGAACCTGGAACCAGCAGCCTCTTGCCCCCCGGCCTCAGGGAATGCAGGTGGAGCCATCGTTCAACAGGGGACAGTGTCCCTTGGTCAATCACCAGCTTGTATTTTAAATAAAATATGTAACTCTTAGGCTAATGGTGGCATTTCTAAGACCTGCCAGCTTTTGTCCGTCCCTCTGACCAGGGGATGCCGACGTGATGTAGGATGGGGTGGGGGCCCTTGTCCGTCTGAGTGGAATCTGGGGAGGTCTGGGGTTCTGGGTGGGTGAGGGGAGCCTGGGAATGGCTGTGGCAGGGTAGGGGTCTCTCGGGCCTCCCGGTTGTATGGACAGGCCCACTGAGGCATCACCGGGGTTGGAGTGCAATCCCCCCACTTGGCAGAGGAGGCAGGCTGCCCCAGGCCCCCCTCCCAGCCACATTAGGCCGGGGTCATTCTAGGCATCATTTATGTCCAGAGGAGGGTTGTGCCTGGATCATAGGGGCCCCGCCAGAGTCCCAGGCTGAGCCCCAGGCCCAGCAGAGCCCTGTGCACCTGGCAGGGGTGAGGGTAGCGGTTGGGGCTGCCGTGGATGGAGGCTCTGGGAGAGGTGAGACCCTGCGTCCCCCAAGAGGCTGCTGCAGATGGAAGTCACCTGTGAGCAGCGTAGGTACAAGCTGGGGTGTCGGCCTGAGCTGCCTGAGGGTGCAGGGCAGAGATGGGTCAAGACGGGGCTGTGCGGAGGCGGGGGCAAGGGCTGTAGCTGCAGGGGGGAGGGCAGCGCAGCCCAGGATAGGGGTAGTGGAGCCATCTGCGTGCCCAATGGGTACAGCGTTCTTAAGGATGGTCCAGAGCACTGTGGGCACACAGCTGGGCATACTCAGCGACCACAAATAGCGACAGTAGTGCGAGAGCCACGAGGTGCCTGGCAGCAGCGAGACCAGCAGAAAAGTGGACGTCAGGGTCACCGAGAGCCCTGGATGGGGGAGGGCACGGGGGACTGGAACCCACCTCCCTGTGTCCTGCTGCCCCAGGCCCCCGGCAGCCCCAGCCAGGACGCACCTGGCGGCTCTCATGTGTGCAGATGCTTTCAGGCCCGACACAGTGACAAGAAGTTGGTGTTGTCACAGTCCCGCTCCTGGGGGGTGTCTCCAAAGGGAGCAACTCTGGGGGTGGGACTCTAAGTGGGAGGTTCCCAGTGGTGGGAGACCTGATGGAAGGAGGGTCACCCCCACTGACCCTGCATATCCACGAACTCCCACTGGCCCCATCCTCCCTCAGAACCCTTTAAATCCTATAAACCCTGTAGACCCTTCCAACTGCCCGCTTGTAGTGAGACCCCTCTGCAGACCCACATGGACCCCCCTTTCTGGAAAAGCAGACGGAGTCACAGCTCCTTCCTCATCACCAACAGCGCGGCCAGCACTGCAAGCCTGCCAGGGTGACATCATGCCTCCGCCACCCTCTGGTGCTTCATGTTCGCCTGGGGAGGCACAGACCTCCGGAGGTACCTCACTGCCCCTATCACGTGTCCCTGCACCTGCATGGCGCTCTATGGCCACCACACCCTGTGCCGGAGCCACCTCCCCAGGGTGGCGCTGCCCATCCAGGCTGCCCGGAGCTCGCTCTCCCTGGAAGTGCCGCTGCAGCGTGAGGTAGGCAGGTGACAGCAGCCCGGCCCCCGAATCTCTAGGCGGCTCTGAGGACCAGTGTCCACACAGAGTAGCACTGAAGGTGAGGGAGCCCGTGACACCCTCTCTACCCTGCCTCCTACCCGCCTCGTGACAGTAGGGCACAGGGTGTGAGCAAAGGTACCCCCCAGGCCAGGTGCTCCCAGCTGGGCTCCACTGCCCCCTGGAACTGGATGCACTCAGTGTCCCCGCTCCCTGCTGGCCAGTAGAGCGGGCTCCCCAGGCTGCAGTGCAGATCCCCACCCAGCAAGGCAGGGGAGAGGCGCAGAGGGCGGCACCCCCAGGGTGGGCGTCCTGGCCCCAGCTAGGTGTGGGTGGGGTGTTGACCACTCTCCAAGCATCTGGCCCTGTGGGGGATTCTGGCTTCTGAGTGTGTCCTGACTCCTTGTCCTCAGGGGCTATGGCTGGTCGCTATTTGTGGGCAGAGTCCTGACACCTCCAGGAGAGGGTGTGTGCTGCCTGCTGCATGGGGAGATTTTGATTCCGGTGGGGGTTCCATTCTTTTGTAGAGGTTCTTAACATGTTTGTGGGGATTGATGACATATTTGTGGAGGCTTCTGACCCTTACGTGGGGTTCTCAACCCCTGCATGGTGTCTCGGCTTCTTTGGGGGGTCCTGACCCCTGTGTACACGTGGGCGTTCCCATCCCGCATGGGCTTCCTGCCGTGTCCGTGGGGGCCCCTGACCGCTGGTGCTGACCCGTATGGCCATCTTGCTCCAGGGTCCGCAGGCCTGGAGGGGCCCAGTCGTGGCCGTGGAAGATGAAGGGCCCGAGGGGGCATCCTGCTGGACCAGGTGGAGGTCGACGTCGATGGGGGGCTGGGCTGGGCCCCCACGGGCAGGGGCTTCTTCCAGTGGGTGGGGCCTGAGGGAACAAGGTCTGGGCTCTACAGAGGGGGGTCAGGGAAGCAGCCGGGGGTGCACAGAGGAGGTTGGCCCCCGCACACCCAGAGAATAGCCCAGCCTCAGAAAATTGCTCCCTGCTCCCCCTAAACACCTGGACAGGTCATAATGTTCCTCTTCCCTCCAGCCCTGCCCCTGCCCCAGCCACCTAGTCTGCAGGCACACTGCCCCCAGGGAGAGGGGGGCAGGAAGGTCTCCTAGGACGTGGTCGCACATCCACACTGGAACCTCCACCATGTCATGTACACGCTCACAGACGCTGGACACACAGACCCCAGCAGGCCCAGACACACACACAGGGACGGTCACACGCATGCTGCCTGGTGCCGGGTCACTGGACTACAGATGGGAACCTGCAGAAACCACAGAGCATGGTGTGCACACTGCCTCTTGGCCACTATCGCACCACTGGCACGTGCTCTGGTGGCCCTGTGCAGCCTGCACAACTCTGTCCTCACCACACTTTGGATCCTGGGACTCGTAGCGCCGGGCACCTGCAGACAGTGGGCAGGGGACGGAGCTGAGAGACCGGGCATCTGGGCCCTCTCCAAGCCCCAGCCCAGCCCAGGGCCAAGAATGGGGAGCAAGGCTTAGGCCAGGGGAGGCCAGCGTGCAGCCCGCTCTCCTGTCACCCCAACCCCAGTATCTCCCTCCCCGAGGGCAGGAGCTAAGGGGTGGCAGCGAGCCGCAAGAGAGGGTAGATTCAAGACCAGATGGGCAGCGTCCCAGTGCTCACCCTCAGAGTCTGCAAGCACCAGCTGCTGCACCGCGAGGAAAGGGAGCACGATGCCAGGGGCCCGCGTGGCGCAGCAGCAGCCACGGCTGGGAAGGACTAGCCACAGAGCAGGCTGCTGGCCAGGCTGCTCCATACCCACTAGTAGGGTGGGCTGGGGGCATAGCTAAGTCCTGTGGGCTCTCTGGGGTCCAGGGGGCGGCGCCAGGCAGGGCCCCTAGGGAGGGAGAGCGCTCCAGACTCCCCAGCGCCCGCTCTGAGCCAGGGCTGCGCTGCGCTGCATGCCAGCAACAACACTGGCGTCGAGGAGGGGTTGTCCTGTTATCACTCCCACTTACAGTTGAGGAAACAGGCCGGGGACCAGGAGTGACGTGCCAAAGCCACCAGCAAGGAAGGAAGTTCAAAGGGTGAGGGCACCTTGGATCCCAGCGCCCTTGACTTGGGTGGTAGAGATGGGAGGGGGCGTAGGAGGATGTCCCTCGCCTCCTGTGGGCCCAGGACCCCCACTCCCACCCAGGACCACAGCCTCCCTCCTACTGCGCCCCCTGCGCATCCAGGGCCCAGGTGGGTCCCTGCGGGAGGGGCGAGGAGGGGACACTTCTGCATCCTGTGCCTCTTTCCAATCGCCAGAGGGTCAGGTGCTTCCCATTTTGGGGAAAGGGGTGAGGGGCGCTGTCCGCGGCGCCGTGACCCACCGCCTGTTCCAGCAGGTATGTTGGGGATAAGGGGCCGCCTCCTTATAGCTCCCGTCCCTATCAAGGGACTTACCGGTTCCTTTCTTAACCCCTCCCCTTCCTCCTGCCTCACCTGGAGCGTGGTGGCAGGGTGAGATCACACTTCCCCAGCCAGGAGGGAAAGGCTGGGTTAGGAGGCCAGCAGAGAACCCCCTTCCCATGGGGTTGGGTTGCCTGGGTGCCCTCTGGTCCTTGTTTTATGAGTGGGACGTTTATGGAAAGGACCACTGTCAGGGAACAGAAGGGTCTAAGGAGCCCCTGTGCTGGCCCCTGGCTTCCGTAGATGGTCCAGCTCCCCCACCCACTCATCACCAGTCACCTGGTCTGCCACAGCCCCAACTCTACTGAGCCTTCCCAACAGTTGAGCTGGACAGGCCTCCCAGCTCAGGCCTCACCCACAGGCCCTTAGGACGCACTGGCAGACCCCCAAGGCCCACAGAATGGGCCTGAGCCCCCTCCCCATCTCGCACCCCCAGGAGGGCCAGGCCGTGCTGGGACACCGGGTGGCCAGGACTGCAGGGAGGAGCTGCTTACAGCCACCTGAGTGGAGGGGGCTTAGAGGAGGGGATGGGGGGCCAAGTTCTAAGCGCCTCCCCGCCCGCCACCCCACGCAGGCTCCCAGATGGTTAGGGTGGCGGCCTGGCAAAGCAGAGGACTGTGCAGACCCGTGCGGGTCAGCCACGCTTGCCGAGGCGGCGCAGGGCCTGCTGCTCTCCCTGCCTGGCCCTCAGACCACGGGGGCTCGGGCCTGCTGAGAGGTGGGTGCCCCGGCCACTCACCCCACAGCCTGTGGCAGCTCTGGGGGTGGGTCACACCAAGGACTGATCACACCTCTTCCAGAACACAAGTTTATTTGGCATTTGGATGAAATGGTTCTCACAGCATCTTAGGAAAAGAATTAGTGCCAACCCAACCAAAAATAAACCCAAACTAAAAACCCTTAGTGAAAGGAAAACATAAAAAACAGGCATTGAGACAATGTACAGTATCAAATTCCACCTCTCAAGGCAGGTCAGAGGGCACCTGGTCTCAGAACAGCGGCAGGGCAGTGCCAGGGAGGCGGCCCTCCCAGAAGCGTGCCTGTCCCTTCCCCCGTCCCTCCGGGGTCCCAGAGGGCAGGGCACCCCTCCCAGGAGCTCCAGCCTCAACAAAGGCCACCTCAGGACTCTTCCCAGCCTGGCCAGGACTGGAAGGTCTTGCAAAGGGTGGCACTCTGGGTGATAGCGTGGGGCAGACGGGCAGGCCCCAGCTCTGCACGCAGGCCTTCTGCCCAGCCCAGGCCGCCACTGGGCTGAGCTCGTGGGGAGGCCTGACGAGGGGAGGGACCCCTGGCGACCAGAGTGCACCCTTGGGCCCAGCCTGACAGTCTGGAGCGAGCCGACGGTCGGCAGCCTCCGTGGTCCACTCTGGGCCCCTTCCTCACCGCCTGCTGGACGCCTGACTGGCCCCAACAGTCTCTCGGTCCCCAAAGGTAGCTTCCTAGCCCCACACATCTCGTGCCAGCTGCCCTCACCGCACACAGGTCCTGACGCCCCTCAGGACGCCTGCCGGTCGCCCAGTACCAGCATCACTCGAGACTGCTGCTCTGAAACCTGGCGCAGTGGGGGCAGGACGCGCTTCCTGCTTTGTCCTCAGCAGCTGGGCACGGCCCCTGGGGCCAGGACTCAACTCTCATGGGAAGTAGCAGCCCTTCAGCCAGGGGAGCGGGCCTCACCGCACGCGGCCTCCAGGACAGGCAGTTCAGTGACGAAACTCATAGCTCTGGCACAAGGTCAAGTCTGTGGGCAGCTGTGGAGTCTCAGTCCTCACGGGATGGACAAAACGGGCCTGAGAACGTGCCTGGACTGCGCAGAGTCCGTCACTGCACAGCAGCGCATGCTCCCGCCGGTCCTCTGCACAGCTGTCCTCGTGGTGGGGAAAGACCTCGAGCGAGACACGGAGCAGGGAGAGGGCAGGGCAGACGCAGCGGCCCAGGAGAGCCAAGTTCCCGCGCACCCCATCGCCTGCAAACACGCGCACACACGCACGCACGCACACACTCGTGCACACAAACACGGATCCAGACATTCAACGTAGAAAAGATATGCATGTGCTAAAAATCGCACAGAACCCGCTTAATCTCCAAACCTCAGAAATGCTAAAGGCCCCGTGTCAGGACACAAGACGCGGTCCAGGAGCAGGCAACAGGGTCCCTCGGGCAAAAGGCCCCCAGGCAGGGAACCAAGCACCCAGCGCTGCTGAGGGGGGCGGGGGCGCATGTGGCCACTGGGCTCGGCGGTGGCGGTGGCGCAGGGAGTGGACTTTCGGGAGATGGACACAGCCCGGGATGTCGGTTCAGCCACCCGCCCCCCAGAAACAACCCTTTATGGCACAGATGAGGCGGGGAGGAGCAGGCCAAGCCCAAGGACCATTCAACAGGGGCGGGGCCCAGAGCGCCAGAGTGTGGACAGGAGCTGGCTCAGGCCCCAGCACCCCCGGCATCCAGGGCCTCAGCCTGACTCCAGGCGAGCCGCACACAGCACTGCGGGGGACACCAGTGGGGGGGCGTCGGGCTTCCTGCCACAGAGCTGAGCTTCGTGGGGCCCAGCTGTGAAGACAGAGCCGAGAGGTCAACCTCCTTCCAAGCTCCCTTCTCAGGAGCCAGGCCCGGGCCAGCCCTGGCCCAGGGCAGGGTCACCTTGACGCTCATAGCCGGGCCCGCGGGGCCGTCTCCCCTGAAGCAGATCCCTGCCACACCATGCGGACAGTCAGAAGTGCCGTCCTGATGGGGCCAGGGGGGCAGTCCTGGCAGCCCCTGCCCAGCTCGCCCCAGGGCTCGGTGCGGCTGGCAGACTTCTCTGGACGCGCACTGCACGAGCGAGCCCGCCGAGTGCCGTCCGGCCACGGCCCACAGTGCCTTCTTCCCTGCCTCTGAAGCACGTGGTCTGAGCAAACTCCATCACTCTTCCGCCACCTGAAAAGGAGAAGGTGGCCCACAGCTCTGCGTGTCTCTGGAGCCCTCAGGGACTCGGTGCAGCGCTCCTCCCTGGCCTGCGGTCGGCGGGTGTGCTGCAGTGCGGGGGTCCAGGCTGAGGCTGGGTCCTTCAAGTTTCCCACAGGGACTGGTGTTTTGACAGCAGACGGGTGCTCACAGCCCGCTGGACACGGGCCGGGCCGTCTATACCATGGTGTTGAGGGAGCTGCGGCTGTGGCGGCCGGCCCCTGGCAGTGCCTCTGCAGCCGGGGCACTCCCACTCTGGGCAGGGTCGGGGGGCACGAGCAGGGCACTGCTGCTGTCGGCGGAGTCTTCCAGGTCTGCCAGAGAGGCCCCCGAAGTGCGCAGAGGCTGTTCCAGGCACCGGGACAACGAAGCTTCACTGCCACCATCCCCTGGGGTTGGCAGGCTGGTCTCCGGGGGCTCGAAAGCATCGTCGTCTGCAGGGGGAGACAGGGGTGTCAGAGGCAGGTGCAGGCCTGGTACTGGGGGCAGGGCAGAACTGGAGGAAGCCCCTCCTGCTTGAACACCCCAAGGTGGCTCTCTGGGCCTCAGATTCTGAAGGGAGCCCCCAACACAGGCTCTGTCGTGCACACTGCTCCCCGTGGCCGGGCACCTGGTGTGGGCGAGGTGCAGGGCGCAGCCCGCACCGCAGACACGTGTGAGGCAGGGCGGTGCACTGACAGAGCCCCCGGAACTAAGGGTGCCAGAGGGAAACCCGGCAGCCTCAGCGGGGTTGACCTGGGCGGGAAGGCGGCGCATTTGATGTCGGGGAGTTATTGGGTCAAAGTGGGCGGGGAGCACTCAGTGCTGCGGCTGGAACGCGCAGCCCGGGCGCGGCAGCAGGGTCAGAGCAGGAGCCCAGCGAACTGCACGGCGTCTGCAGGAAGCTCCGGTCCGAGGGAGGCTCCGTCCGGCCTGCTCCTCGTGACCACGGGCGTCTCCGAGAACAGATGGCAGCGGCCTCAGCGACACCGCCCTGCCCTGCGTGCCGCCCACAGGCCCCAGCCCTGCCTCATTGCCCAGCCCATGGCGGCGTCTGGGCCCGGCTGCCACCCAGCAGCAGCCCTTGCAGGGAGCTTGTCCTGCTCTGGCCCCTAAGGGAAGACTGTGACATCCGTGTCACAGGGCAGGGGTCACGTCCACGTCTTTGCTGCACACCCAGACCACACGGGAGCTGCGTCGCTGACCAGACGGACAAACGGGACTAAGACCGTTCAGCGCGCAGCCCTGCCTCCCGATGTCCGTCCTGCTGAGGCAGGGGACAAGTGAGGAGCCAGCGCCTCGGGGACACTGCCTCAACTGCACCATGGCTGCGCCAGAGGGCGCGGCGCACAGGGAGACGGGATGGGATGCCCATGTCCTTGCTCAGGGACAGGCCAGGCGATGGAGGGAGGGGCACGCGACTCTCCTTCGCTACGCAGCCCTGTGGGGACTGATTCTGGTGCCAGAAGGGTGACACGGAACAGGCGCTTTCTTCCCACCTCACAGAGCTGCCTCCAGACATGGCGGGGGACTGTCACCATGGTGTCTCTGTAGCACATGTGTCTACACACCCAAGTGATCGGTCCTGGGTCTGGGCCAAGCCTGTACTGGTGACCACCAGGGCCCGGCTCCGCAGCTCACCTCAGACTGGCCCAAGGGCTGCCGGCTCAGACTGGCCCAAGGGCTGCCGGCTCGCAGGTGCTCGCGGAGGGAGAGGAGGAAAGGGGGCCCCAGGCCCTCCGCACAGCCAACTCAGGGAAAGCCTTACAGGGAAAACCAAAGAGAAGGCCAGAAAGAAGTGGGGTCCCCAGGCCCCTGGAGCTGGGAGGGCCACTGGGCGGTGGCCCCACAGGCCAGACTGCTTGACAACAAGGTGTTCCCTCCCGGGGGCAGGCACCTGCGGGGTCATAGAACATGCCATCCGGGTCGATGGAGGCCTCGTAGGGCGGCGGGGGGTCGTCGGGCTGGTCGATGTCTGGGTACTTGTAAGCTGTGTAGGGAGGCGGAGGGTCGTGGAAATGGAAGGTCCCGCCTTCTCCGTCGTCAGAAAGATGCAGCGGGGTGAGGCCTGTGCCGAACCCGTCTGGGCCGTAATCAAAGCCGGGGATCCTGCGGCCGAGGTTGAAGTGGTGCACTGGGCCGCCAAAGCGGGGGACAAAACAGTGCTGTGTCACTGGGCGGTGGCCACCTGGCTCCTGAGCCCCCATTCTGAGGCTAGGCCTCTGTCCCTGAGGGCCACATGCTGTGCCCAGCGGCCCACCTGTCAGCCCACAAAAGACCCCCGACATGGCCGGAAGACACGGCCGGAACCTTCCACCCTCACCCACATGCAACCTGTCCCTCTGTCCTGACGCTGCCACCGCTGGGCCAGGCCTCGGGACTGTCCACACCCCTCCAGCTGCCAGAGGCCTGAGCTCTGCCCCCGCTACGGCTCGGTGAGAATAGGAGCTTCTCGGCAAGAACGTTCCTGGCCCACGGGCGAGGAACCAGAACCCCAGCGACACGTGGCCTCCAAACCCGGGAGGCGCTGGGGGCCCTACAGCAGCCGGCGAGCTCCCCCCGCCCGTCTCCACTGCTCCCGTCCCGCCCTGTGCTGGGCAGAGGAGCTCATGGAGACAAGGGTGAATGGCTGGGGCGCGGGTCACTGCGGAGGGGTCTTTGGCTGGGCTTGGTGCACTCCTGAGGAAGTCAGGTTGAGTAGGGTGGGCCCCTTGCTCCAAGCCTCCTAGTGGCCACCAGTGTCACTGCTCCTCCCCAGCAGGTGGCCCACGCCCAGGGCCCACGCCACTGCAGAAGGTGATGTCCCGTCTAAATGCACCGTGCTGCCCTTCCTGCTGCCAGGCACAGAGGGGGTGGGGTGGAAAGGGAAGCCCCGGCGCCTCCTGCTGCGGGGAGAGGGCCCACCCCTCCTGCCAGGGCAGCTCTACCTTGAGGGGACCATGGCTTAGGGCAGGGGAGACCTAGACCTTGGCTGGGGCCGGGGCTGGTGCTGTGGCCCGTGGAGGGCACTCACAGTTGGCTCCAATCAGGGACTCGATGCGCTCCCGGCGCCTCTGGCGCAGCCGGTGGACCATGAAGAGCAGCAGCGACAAGATGAGGAAGGAGGAGATGCAGCTGACCACCAGACGCATGCCGCTGGCCATGGAGTCGAACAGGCTGTTGCCATCTGTCGGGGGGAGGAAGGAACCTGCTGCTCTGGGAAGGGGGCCATGGCCCTCCTGCCCAGGCCCACCGTGGGGATGAGGAGCATTTGTTCCCGACTTCCTACACCTGACAATCTTAGGATAGATGGTGAAACAAAGCCACCCAAAATCAAAAATGTTGTGAAAACACCAAAAGCAGAAAAGTGAATCACAGGTCTCTAGGCGACAGCCCCTGTGGCCTGTGCTCTGCCCTCTGAAGAGCTCCAGGCCTCAGACCCGCCAATGCCTGAGCAAGGAAGTGGTGTCTTCTGTCCTAGGACTGGCACTTCTAGGCCGTGTGCAAGTAGCTGTGTGCCCAGGTGCGGCTGGGGAGCGACCCTCCTGCAGAAGCCACACACCCTGCTCCAGGTGCTGTGCTGTGCACAAGGTGAGGGGCAGTGGTGCCCACTCGATGGCTGGGCCTTTGGGGCCTGCCTTCTGCCTGAGGCCTGCAGCCACTCAGAGACGGTGCTCGGGTGCCCAGCAAGGAGGAGCCAGGGGAGGCCAGGCAGCCGCTCCGTCGCTGAGCCGGCCGGGTGGGCAGGGGTCTCACGACGGGAGCTGCTGGCAGGGGTAGAGCGTGGCTGACATCCTCCCTGCAGAGCTTAGCCCGGGGCAGCTGCTGTGGGGAGGACAGGCCACAGGGAAGGAGCGTGGCGTGTCAGGAAGCCAGTGAGGAGGCGCATGTGGCATCAGAGAATGAAGTGGACTGGGCAGTGACAGATGGGGAGAAGGGACAGCACAGGGTATATGTGGGACCTGGATGTGCCACGACTCACTGATGGACTAAGAGGGGGACAGCGAGGCCCTGTTGGTGGCTGCGCAGGGGCTGGGAGCAGCCGCAGTGTCCAACACCCGCTGGGGACAGGCTTACAAAGGCCGGTCAACTCAGGTATCGTTTCACAGATGAGCATCCACCTCAGCCAGGAGTGACACTGGCACCTCAACCCTCAACAAGCTGTCCCAGAGAAAACACCCCCAATCGCACCCAGCCCCAGCACACACGGTGACCAGCGCTCAGACATCCCAGGACAGCCTCCGCCACACACGCACGCGACGCTGGGCCCCCCAGGCCCCCGCCCAGCCATACCAGGCAAACGACGCACGCTGGGCAGACCTGGCGCCCCCGCCTTGCTGGGTGAGTGCAGGGAGGCGCCACGAGGCTGGGGTCCAGCTGGGCTGGAGACCAAAAACCAAGAGGTCCCAGATGTGGCACCTTCCTCAGGTCTCCTGGGACGCCCCGTCTTTCCAACTCTTTAGTGGTCACCACTGGGAGGGCGGGTGCTACTGGCATTTAGCAGGCGGAGGCCAGGGGTGTGGCTCGACATCCTACTGTGCACACGACAGCCGCCACACACGGTATTGGGTCCAAGATGTCATCAGTGCTGAGGTGGAGACAATCCCCCGCCCTGACCCAGCGCGGCGCACACTGAGGCTTGTCAGGTGCTCCCTGTGAGCTGCAGCGGTGGGACGGAGACTGTGCACGTGGTGCCAGCGTGGAGGGACAGTGCTGTACTGGCCGAGCACTGGTGATGCAGCTGGCATTTCCACGTGCTCTTGACCTCAATGGACTGGCAATTCGCACAAAGTCACAGTGCGATGGAACCAGGAAGTGGTCCCAGAAGCGTTTGTCTCCATAGACCCAGGGTGGAGGCCAGGAGGCTTCAGGAGATGGGTGACCTGTCAGCTTCTAGAAGCAAGAGGACCCCACATGGGCAGGGACCCTGCTGAGCTTCAGGAAGAGCTAGGGCTGGCCACTCCCACCTCCACATCCTCCACAGGCAGGACCCCAATAAGACACTTCGCAGCCCACGTGTCAGTGGCCAGACTTCCAGAGCTCTCACACCACTCCTGCTGGCTCGGGCCACTCCATCCCCCTAGACGGCAGAGCTCACGCCCGCCCTCCTCCCACGGGGCCAGAAAGCATCTCCAAAAGCTCTGTTTGCTGCTGATGACACTTGGGCAGTAAACGTGTGAGAAGGATACATCCTCTCACCAATCAGCTGCTTTCTTAATGTCTCCTCCAGCCTCAGGGAACACTTCATCCCTGTCGGTGGGACAAAGTCCATCACCCCGGGGTCTGGCCAGGTGTCTGTTAATTGGAGGCCAGCTCAGAGATACCAGAGGAAGTAGCCCCTTTGCAATGACTAACCCTTAATCAATTCTGAAATAAACCCAAGGACATGGTCAAGGTTCCCAGCCATTCCTCCATGACAGAGAATAGAAGCATCTCTCAGGACCAAGCCACTTGGAGTCAAGCACAAAGAAGAGAGCCTGTCCCAGGAGCCAGGGGCCCAGAGGGCTCACAACATGGCTGGGCCCTCCATGGGGCTCTGGACAGTGCAGATGGGGTTGTCTTCTGTCTTCTAGCTACTGCTAGGTTCCCAGAAAGGGGACACATCCTGCTGCGGTAGACACTGCTGGAACTGAAGGTGTCCTGAAGTCCACCTGGCCTGACCCTTGACCTGATGCCTGGACCACTCCCCGTCCAGGTAGCTGCCTGGCCTGTGCATGAAGAGCTCCAGTGACAAGGAGCTCACAGTCTCACTGAGCTTGGTTACACAGCAACAGTTTCAAAGTCTTTGTCAGAGATGGCAGGTGGAGCAAAAGAGGTCATGTCCTTGGGTTCGCAAGACCTTTGCCTGATTTGTGTTTTGCAGATATTCTTTTTGCTTTTTGCTTCCGTCAGCGGCTTGTCTTTTCATTTCCTTAACAGGGTCTTCCGAAGAGAAGATGTTTCCAATTTTGATGAAGTCTAATTTATCAATTTTTTATTTTAAGGATCATGCTAAAAATGTTGCCTATCCTATGGTCACAAAGATTTCTCTCCTATGTTTTCTTCTAGAAGTTTTACAGTTTAAGGTTCTACACTCAGGTCTATGGCATTTAGAGTACATTTTAAATACAGTAGGAGGTGTAAGGTTCTTATTCTTTGCATACAGATGTTGAACTGTCCCAGCACCATTTGTTGAAAGACTGTCCTTTTCCTAGTGAACTGCCTTTGCACCTTCGTCAAAGATCATTTGACCATATGGTGTAGGACTGTTTCTGGACTATTCTGTTCCAGCGATCTATGCGTCTATTCTTCCATCAACACCAAACTGTTCTGGTTAACTATGGCTGTACAGTAAGTCATGAGTTGGGTAGCATCAATCTTCCAACTTCTTTCTTTATAAAAACGGTTTTGGCTATTCTAACTCCTTTGCCTTTCCATGTAATTTTATACTCAGCTTGTCAGTGCCTACAAAAAAGTCTGCTGGAATTTTGGTTGAGATTGCACTGAATCTGCAATTTGGGAAGAATTAACCTCCTAATGATACTGAGCCGCCTAATCGATGAACATGGTATATCTTTCCTTTTATTTAGGCCTTTGACTTTTTTCACCAGTTTTTTAGTTTGTAACAAACAGAAAAAATGTACACATATTTTATGAGATTTATAACTAAGTATTTCATGTTTTGTTTTTGGTGCTATTATAAATGGTACTTTCTTAAAATTTCAATTTCTAACTATTACAGGTAGATTATGTAAATACGGTGGATTTTTGTACATTGATCTTACATCTGGAGACCTTGCTAATCACATTTATTAATTCTACTAACTTTCCTGTAGATTCTCTGGGATATTCTGTGCAATCGTGTCATTTGCAAAGAGAGATGGCTTCATTTCTTCCCCTCTGGTCTGGATGCCTTTTCATTTCTTCTTGCCTTCTGCCACTGGCTGTGACCTCGAGTATAACGATGAAGAGCATGGAAGAGCAGATACTCTTGCCCTGTTGGAAGGGATACTCTGAAGTTTAACACCTGAGATCCTGTTCCCAAAGTCTCAATGACAGTATCTCCGTTCTTGATGCGATATGGGCACTTCCCAGGA